CTTGTTGAATGAAGAAACTAGAAGAAAATCAACGGGTTCCTCTCATTCGGAAGCATTTGTTGTGAGAGGCCGAAGCAAAACAAGGGGGACTCATGGTCGTGATCAAAGCCATGACAAATCAAAAGATGATTTTTTTTCAAAGAAAGACATTGAGTGCTATTATTGCCATGAGAAATGGCACATGAAGCGAGAATGCTGAAAGCTCAAGAACAAGGAGAAAGGCGTGAAAAATGTGTGGATAAGAAGCAAGAAGACACAACGGAAGTTACTACCGATGATCTCATGGTCGTTTGTGAAGATGATTGTATCAATTTTGTGGGCCAAAAGAGCAATTGGATGATTGATTCTGGTGCTTCTTTTCATGTGACTTCTCGAGTTGATTTCTTCACTATTTACACCAAAGGAGATTATGGTTCTGTTCGAATGGGTAATGAAGGTTTGTCCAAGATTATCGGCATGGGTGATGTTTGCTTGGAAACAAATTTGGGCTGCAAGTTGTTGTTTAAAGATGTGAGGCATGTTCCTGACATTCGCCTCAATTTGATCTCTACTGGGAAGCTAGATGATGAAGGCTTCAACAACAAATTTGGTGACGGAATATGGAAGCTCACAAAGGGTTCTTTGGTGGTGGCTAAGTGCAAGAAGACTCATATACTTTATTCGATGCAAGGAAAAATTTGTAAAGGTGTTGTCAATGCACTTCAAGATGATACTGCTACCGAATTGTGGCACAAGCGGCTTGGCCATATGAGTGAAAAGGGGCTACAAGTTTTGTTCAAAAAAGAGATTCTACCTGCTTTGAAAGGTACACATTTTAAAACTTGTGTTCATTGTTTGGCGGGTAAACAACTTAGAGTTTCTTTTCAGAAAAATGTTACTTCTAGAAAAGAAAATGTTTTGGAGTTGATTCATTCGGATGTTTGTGGTCCTTTGAAAGTTAGAACACAAAGTGGTGCACTTTATTTTGTTACTTTCATTGATGATTATTCAAGGAAAGTTTGGACTTTTTTACTAAAAACTAAAGATCAAGTTTTAGAAATATTTAAGTATTTTCAGGCCATGGTTGAAAGAGAAACATGGCAGAAATTGAAGTGCATCCGATCAGATAATGGTGGTGAATACATTGGGCCATTTGATGAGTATTGTCGTAGCCAAGGTATTCAGCACCAAAAGACAGTTAAGAAGACTCCTCAACAAAATGGCGTTGCCGAGAGGATGAATCACACCATTGTGGAAAGAACAAGGTGTTTGCTTTCACAAGCTAAATTGCCAAGATCCTTTTGGGGTGAGGCAATGAAGACAGTGGTTGACGTAATCAATTTATCTCATTCTTATCCTTTGAATGGTGATGTTCTAGAAAGAGTTTAGACCGGTAAAGATGTGTCTTATAAGCACTTGAGAGTGTTTGGTTGCCGAGCTTTTGTTCACATTCCCAAGGATGAGATGTCTAAGCTTGATAGTAAGTCAAGACAATGTATTTTTCTTAGCTATGGGCGTGATAAATTTGGGTATAGATTATGGGATCCGGTCGACAAGAAAGTTATTTGAAGTCGTGATGTTGTGTTTCTTGAAGACCAAACAATTGAAGCCTTTGACAAATGTGATTAACCGAAGCCAAAAAGTAGTGATCTCATTGACATGGATCCATCTCCTTTATCTTCAGTTGATGATGAAAATGGGGGAGATATGCAGCCACCTATTGAAGATGTAGAGGATGATGCTAATCCTAATGAAGTTGAGCCAGAAATTGAGGAAGAGCATCCAACTCAAGAACCGCCACCACAACTTGAGTTGAGGAAATCTACAAGGGACCAACAACCTTCAAGAAAGTATCCTCCCAATGAATTTGTGTTGATTTCCGATCAATGGGAGCCTGAGAGCTACCAAGAAGCAATTGAGCATGCAAAGAAAGGTGATTGGAAAAAGGCCATGGAAGAGGAGATGAATTCTTTACTTGAAAACCACACTTATGATTTAGTGAAGTTGCCTAAGGGGAGGAAAATTCTCAAAAATAAGTGGGTTTTCAAATTGAAGAATGATGGCAAGAATCTGAGGTACAAAGCACGCCTTGTTGTGAAAGGCTTTGGGCAAAAGAAAGGCATTGACTTTGATGAGATTTTCTCACCGATTGTGAAGATGTCTTCTATTCGGGTTGTACTTGGCATGACTGCAAGTATGAACCTTGAAGTTGAGCAACTTGATGTGAAGACCGTATTTCTTCATGGTGACCTTGAAAAAGAAATTTACATGGAGCAATCGGAAGATTTTGTGGAAAAAAGAAAAGAGAAATTTGTTTGCAAATTGAAGAAAAGTTTGTATGGCCTCAAGCAAGCCCCGCGGCAATGGTACAAAAAATTTGACTCTTTTATCATGAATAATGATTTTTCTAAAATCACTTCGGACCATTGTGTGTTTGTGAAATTTTTTTCGAATGGCAAATTTATTATTCTTTTGCTTTATGTTGATGACATGTTAATTGTGGGTCAAGATTCTACCATGATTAATAGGTTGAAATTGGAGTTGACCAAGTCTTTTGCTATGAAAGATTTGGGACCGGCAAAGCAAATTCTTGGTATGGAAATTGTTCGTGATCGCAAAAAGGGGCTGATTTGGTTGTCTCAAGAAAGCTACATTGAGAAAGTTCTTGAGAGGTTCAACATGAATAAAGCAAAGCCGGTTGGTTGTCCACTTGTAGGTCACTTCAAACTTAGTTCGAATCAATGTCCTACAAGTGAGAAAGACAAGGAAGAGATGTTGAAAGCTCCTTATGCTTCAGCAGTTGGTTTTTTGATGTACGCCATGGTTTGTACAAGGCCGGATATTGCCCACGCCGTTGGTGTGGTGAGTCGGTTTCTCTCTAATTCGGGTAAAGAACATTGGACAGCGGTAAAATGGATTCTAAGGTATCTTCGAGGGACTTCGAAGGTGTGTTTGTGTTTTGGGGATGGTAAGCCGATGCTTGATGGGTTCACGGATTCTGACATAGCTGGTGATATTGATTCTAGGAAATCTACTTCAGGGTATTTGATGACTTTTGCAGGGGGAGCTGTGGCATGGCAATCTAAATTACAAAAATGTGTTGCTCTCTCAACTACTAAAGCTGAATTTATTGCCATTACAGAAGCTTGCAAAGAAGAGTTATGGTTGAAGAAATTTTTGCAAGAGTTGGGTTTGAATCAAGAAAAGTATGTGCTTTATTGTGATAGTCAAAGTGCTATTCATTTGAGTAAAAATTTTACTTTTCATTCGAGATCGAAACATATTGATGTGGGATACCATTGGATTCGTGATGTGTTAGATTCAAAATTGTTACAACTCGAAAAGGTTCACACAGATGATAATATTTCGGATATGTTGACAAAGACTTTGTCGAGGGACAAACATTTGAAGTGTCGAACTTTGGCAGGTATGGTTGATATCTCCACCTAAGTTAGTAGGGGGAGAATTGTTGGGTATACCTCCTTATTGGAGTGTGGGACCCAATTGGTTTATTAAAAGAGTTTAATTTGGTTTGGTATTAGTTATAATATATTTTTATATATTAAATCTAATTTGGTGGAGACCCAATTCAATTTAAAAACAACTAAGGTTTTGATAAAAAACCCTAGATTCACAATACATATTTTTGGTATTGTTTTTCCCAAGAAAAAAGTATTATACGGTTGCCTCATTATTTAGTTTTCCGAAGGAAGCAACTAGTGATTATTAATATTGGTGAAATTAATACTTGCTTTGGTGGATTTGATTCGGTGGTGTGGTTTTGGCTGGTGTTTGGTGACACTAATTTGGATTATTATATTAGGTCTTCTTCAAATTTGTTTCGGAAGATTTTGGTTAATCTATTTGGTGAGGTCTTTCCTCTTGTTTATTTATGATTATTTGGAAATCACTTAAGGGTGGTTTGTGAGACCATTCGTGTCTTGTTTGTAATCGTTTGGAAACTTATTTGGTGGATAGTGGAATCGGATTTCGATCCCGTGGACGTACCTCACATTGAGGGAACCACGTAAAATTCTTGTATTGCTTTTGATTTAATTTTTCCACATTAGTTTTTATTCCCATTGATTGATTTACTTATGGGGAATCACATATTTTCCCTAACATCAAGTTCATGTCACCTAATGAATCCTTTTTTTTTTTTTTGGAGTCCAATAGTCAGGGACGGAATTATGGAGGGACTGTCAGGGGCCACGACCCCCCCGCTTAAAAAAAAAATATTTATACATATCTTTTCAACAAAGTATTAATAGTTAAATGGCCCTGCTTTGTTTTGTGGGCTGGGCTGGGCTCAATCTATTAGTTAGATGGCCAGGGAGGGCCATGTGCCTTCTTTTTTTTTTTTTTTTTTTTAAAAAAACCCTAAATAGAAATAGAAAAAGACAAAAAGAAGAAAGAAAGAAAACCTAATTCCTATGACCTGCTCTACGTCGTGACGCCGTCTCAATTTATTGAAGCAAGCATAAGATTTTTTTTTTTGAGTTAAATCAACTTGGGATACATAAAAAAAAGAAGAAAGTCTTGCTTCTTCTATTAATCTTCTCATTATTACAGGTATGTGATTCATATTCTCTTTTATTGTTGTTTTTAATTTGTAATACTTTTATTATCTTTTTTTTAATGTCATATTGATACAATTGTAATTTTTTTTTTAATTTTACATATTAAGAAAAAAAATCATGAATTAGGGCGTATGATTTCAATTACTAGGGTTTTTTTTTATAATCATATTTGGGCAAATTTAATTTTATTCAGATTAAGTGTTATAAATTCAAAATTAAAATGAATTGAGACTTGTATAAAATTTATGTGTTGAATCTGAATTCTGAATTTTTAAATTTATATGAAATTTGTTTCAATTACATTTGTTATTCTAGGCACAAAAATTTTCTATGTCCTATGATATATATATATATATATATATTACATTAGCAATTGGTTTTAATTTCTAATAGAATATTAACTATGTACTTAATGAATTCTATTTTGATTTGTAGATTATTATGGGAAAGCCATGTACAATTGATAGATTTTTTAAAAGAAAAAATGCAAGTTCCTCAGAAGTCAATGCTGACAATACATCATTGCCAACTTCCGATGTTGATATCCCTGAAAATCCTCCCATAAAATCTCAAAAGATTGATGTTAAAGAAATTGATATTGGTTCATTGGAGCAAGATCCTGGATTACGTATACAGATTTGGGATTATCATGTTAATCAACGTGATGAAATTCGACGAGCTTATATTAAGGCTGGTCCATACCAACTTATACTTTCAAAGTATCCGAAATCTGGATCAACAACTCATCTTCGTAGTTTTCAACCGTCATGGTTCAAACTATTTCCGTCATAGTTGGAATATTCACCTGCAAAAGATGCAGCTTTTTGTTTACCATGCTTTCTTTTTTATAAACCATGTGGATCTGGATATTATGGGCCGCAATCATTCACTATTGATGGATTTCAGAATTAGAAAAAAGTTAGGGATGGAGCAAAATGTGCTTTTTTAAATCATATAGGAAAAGATCCTAATTCTTTTCACAATGTTGCCGTGAGATCATGTGAAGACTTGATGAATCAATTTCAACATATACAGAAGGTATTGGACAATTTCACTTCTGAACAAATTGTAGATAGTTGACTAAGATTGAAGGTCTCAATTGATGCAATCCGATTGCTTGCATTTCAAGGTTGTGCTTTTAGAGGTCATGATGAAAGGCCAAATTCAATCAATCGTGGAAATTTTCTTCAAATAGTGAAATTGTTGGGATCATATAATGATAATGTTGCTAAAGTATTGGATAAAGCTCCGAAAAATGCCTCTTACACATCACCAAAAATTCAAAAAGAAATTTTACATATTTTTTCAACCAAAGTGAAGAATGCAATTCGTGAAGAAATTGGTGATGCGAAGTATTGCATAATTGTTGATGAAGCTCGTGATGAGTCAAAAAAGGAGCAAATGGCTATAGTTTTGAGATTCGTTGACAAAGATGGTTTTGTGAGAGAGTGTTTTTTTGGGCTTATTCATGTCTCTAACACTGCTGCATCAACCCTAAAAGATGGAATATATTCTGTATTGTCTCATCACAATTTAGATATTCAAAATATTCGAGGACAAGGATACGATGGTGCAAGCAATATGCGAGGTGAGTGGAAAGGATTACAAGCCTTAGTTTTGAATGATTGTCCATATGCTTATTATATTCATTGTTTTGCACATCGTTTGCAGTTGGCTTTAGTGGCAGCATCGAAAGATGTTATCCCAATTCATAAATTTTTTCTTAAATTGACTTTTGTTGTCAATATTGTTGGTGCCTCATGCAAGCGCAATGATGAATTGAAAGTTGCGCAAGCTGCTGAAATTGAACATATGATTGACATTGATGAGCTCGAGACTGGAAAGGGACTTAACCAGATTGGCACTTTACAACGAGCTGGAGATACTCGTTGGAGTTCTCACTTCAAGTCAGTTTCAAGCTTAATAAAAATATTCAGTCTAACATGTGAAGTTCTTCTTAACATCATTAATGAAGGAATGACTTCTGCCCAACAAGGAGATGCAGACTCAGCTTATGAAACATTGACTTCATTTGAATTTGTCTTTATTTTACATCTCATGAAAAAAATGTTGGAGATCACTGATTTACTTTGTCAAGCTTTGCAATGCTGATCTCAAGACATCTTAAATGCAATGAATCTAGTTTCATCTACCAAGGCACTTCTGCAAAAGTTTAGAGATGACAAATGGGATGCTTTACTAGCCAATGTGCAATCATTTTGCGAGGTACGTAACGTAGATGTCCCGAATATGAATGCTCCTTATATTAGGAGAAGAGGTTGAGCTCGTGATCATCAAGATGACTTTACAGTTGAGCATTGTTATCGAGTAGATATTTTTTATGCTGCAATAGATTCTCAACTACAAGAATTAAATGGACGGTTCAGTGAACATGCAGTCGTGTTGCTTAATCTTAGCTCAGCTCTAGATCCTCGAGATGTGTTTGAAACTTTTAGAATCGACGATATTTGTCGGTTAGTAGAAAATTTTTAAAAGAAGAAAGAAAGAAAACCTAATTGCTATAACCTGCTCTATGCCGTGACGTCGTCTCAATTTATTCAAAACAAGCATAGGATTTTTTTCTTGAGTTAAATCAACTTGGGATGCATAAAAAAAATAAAAAATAAAAAATAAAAAATAAAAAGTCTTGCTTCGGCTATTAATCTGCTCATTATTGCAGGTATGTGATTCATATTCTCTTTTATTGTTATTTTCAATTTTTAATACTTTTATTATCTTTTTTTTAATGTCATATTGATACAATTGTAATTTTTTTTTAATTTTACGTATTAAGAAAAAAAATAATGAATTAGGACGTATGATTTCAATTACTAGGGTTTTTTTTAATCATATTTGGACAAATTTAATTTTATTCAGATTAAGTGTTATTAATTCAAATTTAAAATGAATCGAGACTTGTATAAAATTTATGTGTTGAATTTGAATTCTGAATTTTTAAATTTGTATGAAATTGGTTTTAATTACATTTGTTATTCTAGGCACAAAAATTTTCTATGTCCTGTAGTAAATATATGGTTTTATTTTTTACGTACTAATTTAATATTAAATTTTAGTTTACTTTTTGAATTCAAAAAAATAGTAATTTATATCCATTCATATAAAAAAATTTATTTATGTCTTGGCCCCCCCCTGCAAATGAATTCTTGGTTCCGTCCTTGCCAATAGTGTCTAACCAGTACACACTTTCTAATTAATTACAAATAATGTGTATACTTTTAAATATGGTTAACATATATTCTGGATCAAATAAAATTTATATATTATTCCCACACTCATCACAAATTTATTTTTTATTTTTTTCCACGCAAAGCGTGAATTTTCAAACGAGGAAAAAGACAATACGACCAAACTTTATGTGCTTACCAAGCATAGAACCATTCTCTTTGGAAGCTGCCAATTCATGCTAATAGTAAAGACAATATGACCAAACTTTATGTACTTATTATGGGGATATATTTTCTAAGTGCCAACACGTGGCCAAGGTGATGTCCACGTGTCAGCCGAGGTGCCACGTGTCCTGTCAGTGATGCCGAGGTTACCTCCGAAGATATCGGAATCCGGGATAAGCAGATAAGGCACAAGAGTCCTAAAATGGGGAAGGACTTCAGCATGGATAAGGATAATACTCTTAGGGAGTTTATCTTTATCTCTTGGAGAGTTCAGGATAAGCGCTGAGCAGAAGTCTATTGAAGCATTGAAGCTAGGCTTCTATGGGGATTAGGACTGAATTAGCTATAAAAGAGAGGCACCCCCGATGAGTCTATGGTATGTAATCTATATTCTGAGCAGTGAGTTTAGCACTATTGATTATATTTGAGAGAGATACTGACTTGATCGTTGGAGTGCCCCCGGGTGGACGAACCACCGCTAGAATCTTCTCTTTCTATTGTAGGTTAGACAGGTGCCATCTATTCTACCAGTGCTCTCCAGCTGAATACTTAGTTGGCAGTGTGGTCAGAAATTCACTCACACAATTTGGCGCCGTCTGTGGGAAAGAAAGGAGAATAGATGGCCAGTGACGGACAGAAGGATAAGGTTGGGGACGAAATCCCTGCTGGGAACGGTAAAAACGTTGACCCCAACATAGAGGAAGATGGTTGCAACGAGGAGACTCAGAACCAGAATCACAGCAAAAAAGACGTCGGCCAAGGTGGCGACGCACCAAAGAAACCAGATCGAAGCGGGTACTACAACGAGAATGACCTCCAGGTATGGAAGGATAGATGCCTGCGAAGGGACGAAGAGGTGAAAGAGATGGCGAACAAATTGGCAGACTTGCAATCGGTCGTCAATTTCATGATGCAAAATAATGTCATGCAGTCACCATTCCCGCTGCAAGACACGCCGATTCTAGCGGCCATTGCCCAGAAGGGAGGGCATAAACCAATCCCAGTAGCCCCGCAGCACACCAGGAGCAAAAAACACTCTCACCGGCCTTCAAGGGAGGTCAGGCGAGGAGAGTCGAGGAGAGAAGAGTCACGAAGGACACATCGCACTAAAGAAGTAGACCCTAGAGAACATAGGCATGTTCAGAGGCAGGAGCTGTGCTTCGACACAACTCATGGAGAAAGGTCGAAAAGGGCTCACAACGAAGCTGAGAACAGCGCACCGAAAAGACTAAAGTCAGGAGATAGCCGAGCTGCTGGGCGGACCAAAGAAGACTTGAGAGATTACCTTAAGAGAAAGCAACAAAATGCCGATGCCGAGGTAACTTCCCCTGTTAAGCCGAGAACACCATTCTTAGTGGAGTTGAACAAATTTGAGGCTCCAAAGAGATTTAGTATGCTGAGGTTCCAAATATACGATAGTAAGTCAGACCCCAACTTTCACGTTGGATTATACCTGAACTCTATGGCATTGTATAGTGGGAACGAGCCGTTGCTCTGCAAAGTGTTCCCCTCATCCTTCGGGGAGATTGCATCAGATTGGTTTCACAAACTGCTAAAGGGAAGTGTGAAGACCTGGGAAGGCTTGGCTGAGATGTTTGTGGCTAGGTTCGTGACAAACAAGCTACAACCATTGAGGATGGACGCATTGATGGCTTTAAGAATCAGTAAGGATGAAGGCCTTAGGGCCTACGCAAAAAGGTACTATGAGGTGTTCAACCGAATATCCGAGTGCAACCAAGAGGTGGCGGTCGTGTCTTTCAAGAACGGCCTAAAAGACAACTGTCCACTATGGAAGTCTTTGGCAAAGACATTGCCAAAAAGCATGGAGGAGCTCGTGGCCAGAATTGAGAAACATGCCTGAGCCGAGGAAGATACATCAGGGGCTAAGGAGACAAAGCAAGAGAAGGGAAACGGCTCGCCGAAGTGAGGCCGAGGTAACAATGGATCCAACAAGCAAGAGGTAGGACTAAGGGCTGCATAGGCAGTCACAACTGTGTTCCGAATCCCAATTCACAAAGTCCTGGATAAAATCCGAACCCAACCCTATTTCAGAGCACCAGCAAGGGTACCAGGAGAATTTATGGGAAGGAGCCTGGGTAAGCATTGTGCTTACCATAACGAAGATGGTCACATGACTCAGGGTTGTAGAGCCCTGAAGGCACACCTGGAAGACCTGGTAAGACAAGGCCATTTGAGGGACCTTGTAGATGAGGCCAGGACAAGGGAAGAGCAGGCAAGACTGCCTCAGGCACCAGCAGCTCCACCTTACCCAGCACAACAACCTCAGGCAGGAGGACCTCGGGTAATTAATGTAATTCACTCGAAGGTCAACGAAAACGAAATTCAGGGGGAGACCCAGAAGGTAAAGCACCTACAGCATGTGTACCAAGTAGGGGAGAAAAGACCTCAGGCCAAGGAGTACCAGGGACCAATAGTGTCCTTTACTGAAGTCGACCTGGAGATGGTCCAACATCCGCACAACGATGCCTTGGTAGTATCCCTCTAGGTTGGGGAGTGCCAAGTGAAACGCATCCTCATTGACCAAGGCAGCTCTTGTGACATCATGTATGTCAGATGTTACAAGGAGCTTGGCCTTCACCCAGACGATATGGAATAATCTAATGGCCCAATGGTCGGGTTCAATGGAACGCCGACATGGCCACTAGGAGCAGTAAGCTTAGATGTGCAGGCTGGCACGAAGAAGATAAAGACAGAGTTCACCGTAATCGACACACCCTCCCCTTATAATATTATCTTGGGAAGGCCATGGTTACATGCAATGGGGGTTGTTCCCTCAACATTGCATCAACTATTGCGGTTCCCAACAGAGCATGGGATAGAGGAGGTCAGAGGAGATCAGCTGCAGGCAAAGAATTGTTCCATGGCAGCAATGAAACCACCTGCAGCATACGAGAACCAGAGAAGGCAGAGATCAAAGACAAGGACGTGGAAGTCCTTGAGGATGTCGGCAAAGAGCCAGCCGAGAAGAGTGAAGAAGCACTGAAGAAAATCCTCGTCTAAGAGGGGGATGAAGAACGCTTTTTTCTTCTTGGCTCGGGCTTAGCCGAAGAAGAGGGAAAAGAGTTAGAAGCTTTCTTGAGGGCAAATATTGAGGTGTTTGCTTGGACGCCTTATGAAATGCCTGGCATTGACCCCAAGGTCACTTGCCATAAACTGAACGTTGACAGGTCGGCCAAACTTGTAATCCAACGAGCAAGAAGACCGACGTTGATGCACGTCAAAGCAGTAGAAGAGGAAGTAGACAGACTTCTGGAGGCCAGGGCCATTCGAGAGGTAAATTACCCGACATGGCTATCAAATACAGTGGTGGTGAAGAAAAAGAATGGTAAATGGAGGGTCTACGTGGACTTTACCAGCCTGAACAAGGCCTGTCCCAAAGACAGTTTTCCTTTACCCAAGATTGACCAACTGGTAGATGCCACTTCAGGGCATGGAAGGATGAGGTTCCTGGATGCCTATAGGGGGTACCATCAGATAGCCATGTACCCCCCAGATGAAGAGAAGACTACGTTTATCACCCCAAAAGGACTGTATTGCTACAGAGTGATGCCTTTTGGGTTGAAAAACGCAGGAGCAACTTACCAAAGATTGGTAACCAAGATGTTCAAACACCTGATTGGTAGAACGGTGGAAGTTTACATCGATGACATGGTCGTGAAGACCAAGGAACCTGAAGGTCAT